TTTTTTTTTTTGGAATGGTGGAGTGACTGTGCAATGAAAAGTCAAGGGTGTTCGTTATTTTTCATAAAAGTATTCTGAAACACTCACTTGATTGAAAGAATTAGGAATCATGAGTATACTGCTTTCAAGGACCAAATGGGAAAAAATTGGTACACTAAAATGTCGCTGGTTCACTTTAAAAGAAAAAATAGTTGTTTTCTGGACGTCATTGTATTGTAGTGTAGAATTTGATTACTCTGTGGATTGGTGTAAATTAAAGACTGCGTTGCATCTCCAGATTAGATCCCTAGTAGAAGATCTTTGTGAGCTCTTGTAAGTTTCTGCAGGTAGTAAACTATTTCATTTTAATAATTTTATGTAAAACTGTGATCGTTGGAAGGTACAGCTGAGAGTCGAAAACAATGCAGATTAGGCTTAAAAATATGTTTCCAAAAGTGGCAAATCGGATGATTTTGATACTGTTGTACGGTAAGTTGCGTATTGCAAAAGCTGTATCACACAAGCTGGAAGGGTGAAATCATTACACTTCGAATCACCAATCCTGAACTCGCTTTTAATATGGCTTTGCTTTTTTGAACGCTGCGGCCTCTTTGATCACTGAGATATTTTGTGATAGACTAAAGGCATTTTGGGAAACTAATTATTCTAAAGGTTCAATTTTTACGTTTTTGATATTTTGGAACCTGCTCTTAGTTGAAAAAAGTACGCTGTCATCAGCATTGGCTGCCATGATTGATGAACTTTTACGTGGAAAATTGCAAAAATTTTTAATTTTAGCTGCTTCGATGCAGTTATGTGGTTTTCATCCTAATAGTGTATCTTCTGAATGTCCCTTTATTACAGATTAATTTTTAACATGACATTATTGAAATAGATTATCTTTTTACAGGTTAACAATGTCTCAGCTCTAGATTTTTATAAAAGGTTTGGATTTGATGTCGTCGATACTGTCCAAGAATATTATAAGAGGATTCAACCCAACAGTGCGTATGTTTTGGTAAAAAAGATCGCTCATTAGCTGTTCTGTAGTGGTTTTTTCTACAAAAATTGTTACAAATGTTTTTATAACAATTTATTCCTAAAGTTCTATTTTTGCGATAATGACAATGTTTATATTGATGGTGTTAGTCAAACTTTTGAACCGTTTTTAAAAGTTTTTTTGCTTATGGTCAGCAGTTATTTTTGAGCTTTGCGACGTAATAATTCAAAGTCTGCACTATTCTCCTGAGCTGTCTATTTAAGCTGCGGCTAACTGAATGGTTTAGAGTGCGTTGGAAATTCCAGCATACTTGTTAATAGTTCTTTGCAAATTTATTTTATTCTGTTAATTAGAACATGTAGCAGTATGGCTGCAGACACCTTGAAGATTTTGGTCAAAACTTGTTCTAAGCTGTCAGCCGTCCTGTAATTGTTGAAAATTTGCTTGTTTCTTATTAGTTCTCTTCTACTTGTTGGTAGTGGAGTGGGAATTCAAAAATAAAAAAATTAAGTTCTACATTGTGCGTTGTATTACAAAATCTTTTTAGATTTAAATTAAATAAACCGTTTAGAAAGCTTAATTTCAATTTGGATTCGGTAAGTGCTGGTAAGTAGCTGAATTTTTGGACAAACATCACTAAGTTGAATATGGCTAGAAAGAAATTTCGGATAATTCTGAGCTGAAAAAATTTCAGCGCGACACATGCGATTTCGCTGACCTAATTTAATCTGGTATTTCAGCTGGTCACTTACGCTAGCGATTAAAACCAAAAGGATCTTTATTGATTTTCATTAGCGCAAAAAAAAAATTCGATTACTGGGAAGTTTTTCGACGTTATCCAAATTGGTTGCGTAAAGAGTGTTATGAGGAATGTTTAGAAAATAGTCTGACTGCAGAAGTATTTTTGGAAAAGGAAGGTGATTTGTATTCAGAATGTTACATGGAATTGTTTAGTAAACTTGAAGCTGAGGGCAAGAGATACTGTTGGTTTTTTGGGGTAACTTAGCGGTGATTGGGTTTTGCTAATTTATATTTCTGTTTAATAGTGGTGGTGAACGCTGTTTAAGATGACGTAGATTTCAAGAAAATGACCGAAATGGATACAGTTCCAGTACTGGAACATCAAAGTCTAGACTTTTCAAGATAGCATGAAGTTTCTGTGGGGTTTAGACCAATGTATTTAATCGCTGGATTAAAACTGGTACTACCGAAGTGTTCAGCAATGTTTAAAAAGATAAAACACTTGTAGAGGGAAGTTTCATTTGCAAATTAGGAGAGTTAATGTTTTTGGAATTTTGTGAGCAACTATATTTGGATAAGTTGCATATTGAAAATGGTTAGAACCTTATTTTAACCTGTTTAGGTTGACAGCGTTAATTTTCACATATTTAAACTACAAACACAGTCGTCGTCGTTAGTGACGATTATTTCACAATTTTGTGCAAGTCTTTCAAAAATACCTTGAACAGAACAGTTGAAGGACATTTGTAAGTTATTCGGTCTAACTAAATGCTAAAGAAACGGAAAAATGTTAATAGCGATTAGAGACTGAGCTAAAGCAATGCATGTTGTCGGAAATATCGGATCTAATTTTTATTTATAAACTTTTTTCTTATTAATTATGGAACAACATTGTAAGCTTTTTCTTCCGCTTAGGCAGAATCTATTTATATGCCAAGGAAAGAACTACTGTTACAAAACTGCTCAAATATTACAGCAAGTATGGTGAAAAAAAAAAAACAGTTTTTTTTTTTATTTTGTCTAACAGATTGGGTTACATAGTATAACAAAACTGTAATGGTTTCTTAATGTCATTTCATATAGAAAGTTTGCAGTTTCAGCTGTTATAAATTTCCTTTTTTCCTTTTAATTTTTTTTTTTTTTGTAGCAAGATGGGAGCATAAAAATGTCAGGTTAAAGAAAGGGGAAATTAGGGAAAAGCGAAGCAAAAAAAAAAAAAAAAAACAAAGAAGGCAAGCAGCGGTTTTATTTTGGTAGCTGCTATGAAAAACCTTTAGAAATTTCTGGTTTGAAAAAAAAAAAAAGAAGAAAAATAGCAACAAGAAAATGACAAGATAAATTTCATCTGAAACTGTCTGTCAGAAAGTCATTCAGGCGACAAACGGACTGATGATCAATGAGAAGTTTTCTTTTTCTTTGCATTTCTTTGACATTTTTGCCTTTTTTTCTCATCGTTATTTTAGCGGTTATTTTAAAAAAAAAAAAATGCAATTCAACAAAAGTTTTCTTTTTTTTTTTCTTTTTTTTGATATATGATAATTTGAAAAAGTTCAATATGCTAATAAACAGTTTATCTATTGAACAGCCAAACAATATTATTGTCACGCTGCTACAGCTGTTGCTTTTACCAATATTGATACTGCTCTCATTACAGTTACTGCTGAAGCTGTTAGTTTTCAAGCAGCAGTTTGCCAGAGCGACTCAAGCAACAGTTCCCAGCTCAATCTCGGCTAATAATGACAATTTTTCAACGGCAATTCTTTGAACGTTCTCTTTCCATTCAACGTTTTTAGCAGTTACTGCCACCAGACACGAAAATTAACAGATGATGTCGAAGTTGTGTCATTCTTTGCTATTTTCTCCCCTTTAATCAGCCTCACTTAGTGTTAAAACCGTTGCTCTGAACTGTTGTCTTCGTTGTTGTTTTGCTACTTGACCGGATATTCCACTTCGGTATGGCAATCGGTCAAGGAACAGTAGAACTCAACATTGTTTTTCAATTCTTTTAAACCGGTTTCAACTAAAATTTTAACTTTACATTTTCACCTTAATTTTCAATTTGTTTCATAAAATTTCTGCTTTGTTTATGTTTTATTTTATATTTTAATTTATTTTGTTCCAAGTTTTTATAGGCTTTTTTTATTTTTACTGCATATTTGAATAGACGGACTCTTATGGCTGAACTGTTTATTCTTCACACTTAAGAAGTTAAAATATGTCGAGATTCATTAGCTAGTGGCTGCGGTGATATCACTTTTGAAGTCCTTTATTGAACGGACTTCAAAGAAAACAATTTCAAGTTTACTGAAAATATGAGCTTGATTTTTAGTGTCATATGCAGATTGAAAAAGTCCTATTTTTCGTGACATTTTGATAAATAAATGATTCTGGGCAATCTAAAAGATGTTTTGGTTTTTTTGTCGTTTTCAACCTTTTTGTAATCTTGCAGAGAATTTAGGAGATTTCTTGAAAACTGCTGCATAAAATTCTGTAGTTTTTTTTGCAACTCACGGTTCAGATACTCTCAAAAATCAGTGCCAAAAATGAAGATTTAAGTTTGCTATATAAAGAGGAGTATAGTCAAATGATGCAACGCACCTGAAGGTTAATAATTTTTAGCAGTTTATAAATTTAAACTTATCAGTCAGTAAAGTTTGGAGGCAATGTTACTTTCGTAAATTATGGAGAATTTATCTTTTACGTTTTTATTTATAATTTTTGCAAATTAAATGTCAGCTAAACCTTTTCTTCGTCAAATTAATTTACCGTTAAATGGCTTAAAAATGTTTGAAGTTTTCTGTACGATTTTCAGACTTTATATGAACAATGTACTGAACTCGACTGGTTAGCTGTTGTTTTACCCCTTGAACAGCACTAACATCTAAAACTGACAAAAATTGATTTAAAAAAAGTTTAGCATTTCATTGGCGAGTTTAAAACAAGTTTGAGGGAAAGTAGAGTAAGAAAGATAAAATTTAAAAAGAAATTTGTTTTAAACCAGTAATTGTTGGAAGCACAGTTGTCGGTGTAATTTTAAGTCAACACAGCTAAGTTTCAATCGACTGCTTTTAGTATGGGTGACATAGAGTGATGTACTGAAAAAAAAAGTATGAATTACGTCGGCAAAATTAGCTATATATGCACTGCTTCGCCGCTGAAATGATCTCAAAACGTCTGAATTTTTCAAAAAAGTTTCAATAAAGCTATAAAGCTTGCAGCTATTTTTCAACCGCAAAAATTGAGCATAAATGAAGTCATATTCGCCAAGTGAAAACCATTTAAAGGTGCACATGCATTGTAGCAAAAAATTTGATGGCATTTGATTTAAATGTGAATTTTTGTTGAAGGCTACCACAGGTTTTTTGTTTCTTCTTATTTTTTTATTTTTTTGTTTTTTTTTTTTTTTTTTGAGCAATTACTGACCGAAAAACGATATTAATAATCACATTCAAATGAAAACGTAAGTTTTGAAGAGAACAGTCAATTGGCACCGCTAAATCTTTGCTTTTTAGAACAAAGAAGGAAAGTTTTTTTAGAAAGCGAAAAAATGCATAAAATGCGGTTAGTCGCGTATTGTTGACTGAAGTCTGTTTAATGAGAATGTTTTTTGGTCATACAGTGCTGTTCTAAAAATTTATACATTCTCAACACTTTTGATCTGGACAGTTTCTACCTACATTTGAAGGTAAAAAGAAGCACAGAGAAATACACAACTGATAAATTTTGAACATAAAAACAAATGTTCAAGTTAAGGTTTAATTAGTAGTTTTAGATTTTGAAGAATTCCAGAAGCTAACTTATATTTTTGTCAATCACTTTTTGCAAAAATGATTTAGAAATTTATAATTTTTTTTTTTGATTTTTATTTTTCTTGCTACTTCACTTTCTGAAACAGTTTCGGTCAGCTCTCTAATGACAGCAACAGCAGCAACAACAGCGACGGCAACAACAGCGAAGACAACAGTGGAATAAAGATGAATAATTAATAAAGTTACCGGTCGATTGCGTGAACTATATGAAGAAAGCTTTTTATATAACAGTAGGAGTCTGCGATGAAGCTTACAAAATTTTTTTTTATTCATGTAAACTTCGTGAGAAGCCAACAGCAGTTCAGTGTTCTGATAAACTTTTCAAAGTCCAGTTTAGTACCGGCAAACACAAAGCTATCCTAGCATGATTCATGCTTGTATTGTTCAGCATACAGCTCATCTGCCTTCGCATCTTTTGGTAGTTCATTTCTGTGCTCATTATCGTCGACATTTACACCGACAAATGGTTCATCTTATTTTTTTCCTTCT